TTGCACCAATGTAGAGCATATGTACATATCAATGAGGCTGCAAAATGTCAGGACTCTAGTTACATTATTTCTCAAGTTATGGCACTTCAAACATTGAACCACAGATTAGTGCGAAGAAAACGATGCAGAAATCTTCATGACCCCACCTTCTTTGAGAGGGTTTAACTAACTTAACGTCAGATCCCAGATTTTACACATGGTCACCTCAGTCAATATTCAACACTTTAAAAAAAACCCTGTTAACAGAAGTGCCGAACAAAAGTAACCAGTGATGCTTCTGTGCCTCTGACAGGTGGACAGGGAGGCCCATGAGGAGCTGGCCAGAGCTCTGGCCCGAGGCCTCCAGCTGGACATCCACGGCTCCAGCAGGGACTCGCTGCAGGGCTCCAGCGGCTACAGCAGCCAGACCAACACTCCCTGCTGCTCAGAGGACACCATCCCCTCACAAGGTACACTCACGCTTCCATCAAATGTTTTATTTTCGTGTCTTTTAATGTCAATAGGCAGGTAATAGAAGATAATTTATGAGCTAAAATCTGCATCTGGTGAATCAAACTGACACAGATGGCAGTTACAAATTAGTCACCTGTCACTTGTCCACCAGTGCTGGCAGAAACTCTCATTGGCAGCTACACTCAGATAATCTAAAAGACAGCAGTAAGAGAAAATAATGAGGAGATTTACCTGAACGTACCTCTAGAGTCCACGGAAAGACAAGTGGCTGCAAACTTTATCGCTGCAGTGCAAATATATGTTTTAACTTCAGTGAAAAATGTGTGTATATGCAGGGAGCTCAGGTAAATAAAGTAATGTGTGTTCAGAGATCAGTCAGAGGTTGTGTAATTTGCTGGTTGACTGCAGCTAACTTAATATCAAGCCATATTTCAAAAGAGGAAAAAAAAAAAAGAAGCTTTAAAAGGTTGAAACCAAGTGTTTGAAACCTTGAAAAAGTTTTGAGGTTTGTGTCATGGATTAATAGGATGAAAAAAATGTAACATCTCTGCAAACATTGGTTTTATATGTGAGATTCCTTCTTCACAGCGGTAGCTCTCTTTCTACATATTTTCAGTTTCACATTTGTCACTGTTTGTTTTCCTGTGTGAAACCTTGTTAGTGCTCATCTGGAAACTGGATGTCGGGGGAAATAAACTGTTCTAAAACATTAAAACTTGTTTCGAAAGGGCAAATCTGCATCTTAGAACAGATGTACATTTACGCTTGTATGGCAGATTTTTCTTTCAGAACTGAGTTTATGGCCACTTTTCAGAGATCTGCTCACAAAGTTGAGATTTGATGAGTAACATTACTTTTGGTAGTGTTGTCTCGCAGCCCTGTTGTGAAACTCCAAAACTGGCAGTCTGGGAGGGTAAAAAAGTGGTCATTTGCTCTTAACCTGTTGTTTGCTCTGCACAGTCTAGGCTAAAAGCAAATGCTACCACCTCCACGATCCTGGTTATTTCTCAGTTTCAGACCAGAACCACCATAAATCACCTGACTTGCCAACCCACAGCTGTGTGGGCAGAACCCTGAGAAGTAGATGTTGTAAACTCAGCTCTGAGTATAAGTAGGAATCCACAAACATTTCACAATGAAGATCTCAAATACAAAATGTTTGCAGAGATTGACTTTATTTGTAGCCAATCAAAACATTACATAAGCCTTCAAAAGTTTTATTACTAGGTTTCAAGCTTTCAAACACTAAGTGTCAGCCGTTCAAAGCTTCTTTTTTCAGTTTTAAAATATGGCATGATATTAATTCACTCATATTCAGGTTGTATTGCTTTAAGTGTAGGAAGTAATCTGCATTTTTCATCCTGACACTGACAAATGGAATTAGGTTGGCATACAAACACATTGGCATACAAACACATGATGCTCACAGTGCATATAGCAGCACAGCAAATAAATAAATTCACAGGAGGTGTAGTGCAAACAGCGTGAAGCAGAGCAGCAGCTGCGTCAGATCTTCATTTTTGTCTACACAGTACGTATTCAGACACAATACTGAGCGTGCATCAACTACTTTTGGCCAAAAAACTAGATTTGCTTTGCTTTCTTGAACACGCTTCACATTTTATCTGAAAGAATGTTTCTGTTCTGACTGGCACATTGAGAGTCTTTGAAGCCTCTTTACAGTCGTTAGCAAACAGAGGAGGGGGTCTACGACGGCCACTTATCAGCCACTTACCATGCAGACCCTTCCACAGACAGCTTAACATCCATTCTCCACTCAAATCACCTTTAAACCCAGATCTTGGACAGTAGGTTTAACGCCTCACATATGACTTCAACAACTCTCGAGGTGCCAACAACCCCGTATGAGGTTGAATGCTTGGGTTAGTCAGAAATAAAGTAGCCTTCGGAATGAAAGGTAAATCGTCTTCAAGAAACTAGAGCAAGTCCATTGGCCTTAGATATGCAATGACTTCACTAGAGAAGAGGTTTCGGCCTCTGTAAAAAGCAAACAAAAAAATTCATAGTGGATGAGTTCCTTTATTTTTCCCAAGAATTCTAGACTACAATTCTAGAAAATACACAGACAACTGAAAACGAAATGCCTCGTGTAGACGTGCCGTTAGATGTGTTGAACTTGTTTTTACTCTTCATAGTGTCAGACTGCGACTACTACTCCGTCGGAGCAGATCAGGACGGTGATCAGCAGCAGTCGTCGGACTTTGATAAATCCTGCACCATCCCGAGAAACAGCGACATCAGTCAGTCCTACCGCCGCATGTTTCAGTCCAAACGTCCTGCTTCCACTGCCGGTCTGCCCTCTAACCCCTCTGCTGTCATCACCCCGGGGGTCGCCACTATCCGACGGACACCGTCCTCCAAACCCAACTTGCGGCGTCCCTCTGGGGGCCTCAGCTTGGGCCCCATTCCCATCAAGCCCCCCATGATCCCAGTCAAGACCCCCACCGTGCCTGATCATCCCGGTTTCCCCACTCGATCGGTGTCAGAAGATGGCAACACTGCGCGGACTCCACTAAGCCCCCCGACCACCCTTTTGTCACCAGGCAACAATGGGCCGTTGTCGCCCAAGTCCATCCCCTGGGAGACCCAACACCTCGGGGAGGGATCGGATCCTCCCACCCCACCACCGCAGCCCAGCGGTCGGGTCGAGTGGGAGCGCCGACCTCTCCCAGAGCTCCTGGAGGAGACAGAATATGGCGAGGTCGAGGACTTTCTGGTGGCCATCCGACGAGGCGTCAAGCTCAAGAAGACGACGACCAACGACCGATCAGCGCCAAATATTCACTGAGAATACAAGGGTTGGTTTGACTTGAGCCATTTTGCGTCCCTAGTTGGATATAATGTTGAAGGGAAACAAAATGGTTACTGCTAAGTAAAAGCAAATGGGAGCTACAACATGAAATGAGTGGCAGGAACAGGAAAAAGTTGCCTGGAGACTCTGATCAAGGATCAGTTTTTAAACATCACAAGTTTCTTTCAGCAATGCCAAATTCTGATTAAAGTTAAACAATCTGCACCTTCACTGTTTGGCCAAAGAGAAATTTCCGTGTAAATGATTGATATTTGACTTTGGAGGAAAACAAAAAGGTGGTTTTAGGCATCACAGCCTGTATTTAATCAATTTTAAAATCCAAACTGATACAAACGACAGTGAGTCTGTCAACTTAATGCACATTAAAGAATGTTTTCGGTTTGAAACGTGCTGAAGGAGAATTAAAATCTTTTTTTTAACTATTGCTTTTTCTTATATAGCTATTGGTTTTACTTGTTGCACATGTTGAAGTGAGACAACTGGGAAATGGCAAAACAAAATGAAACGCTCCATACAGATTTAGATGTTATCCAACAAGACCTTTACAAGGACCTTTTTACAGGCTGAAAACCAAAAGCATTGCACTTGAGTTCCTGTCTGAGGCAACGACCGGGAAAACTGATCCAAGATCGTTTCTTCAGGGCAACTTCGGTATGTAAAAGACGACGAGTGAAAGGATATTCTTGTCAAATGGGAAATGCCTGAACAAGGTCAGTCTTGTAGCAGAAAAGGCTTAAATGAATCTAAACGTTAGTATTGGTAAGATAGATGAAGTAGAGAAAAATTGTCGAAGAGATAATGGTAAGCTGGAAGGAGTGATGGAGTATTTTCAAAAGATCAAATCATTATTTGTATGTACATATTTCTATTTTGATGTGTTTGTATGTTTCGTTTGTCATAAGCTCCTTTTACATCCCCGTAGTCTCCCATTTCCACTTAAGGTGCCAAAAGCCTGCGTGCTGAAGTTAAATATTCTCTATTTAATTAAAACTATGCTGGATTTTCTTGATGTACAAACATAGGTAGAGAGAACTACACTTCTACACAACCAGAAAGCGTGTCTGTATATGTAGGGTAGCATCTCAAAGAGTGGCGTGTAACCAGTTACAGTTATTAATACCACAAACAGTAGATTGACCTGCATGTTCTTACAGTTTGCCCCAGTATGAATAATCACTTTGCTTTTTAAATTAGATCCATGAACCAATAAAGCCCCTAAGACACCCAGCAGTGGATGTAAACTGTGTCAGCAGAAGTTAACCACGAACTGCGGATGCCAACAAGTCGACGGATTAAGTTTGGTGTAGAAAGTCCTGCCTTTGACTCCCTAAATCAAAGCTACTGAAAGGGACTGTGAAATATTTATTTCCTTCATTTCCAATTATGTTTTTAAATTTTGTTTTTCTGTGAAGCACTTTGAAAGTTTTGATCAAACGCAAAAATGCTGAAAAGCCAAGAAAAATTCAATCAACGGCTAACATTCTTATTCTAAAGTATCTTTGTTAGTTCTTACTGCCGACAGGTATAATTGGTGAGTTTGTTGGCCTCCGTCCCTGTTCATTGTTGAACTATTAACCGACCAACTATGTAGCAGCTGCACAGTATGCGTTAGCGTACAGAGCAGTATTAGAGGCTGTTACTACAGTTTCCGTGTTACTACTTATCTGTAGTAATTGCAGTAACGTGGATTAATGTATTGGTCTGTTGTAGTGAAGCCTGTGTGCTGAGTTAGCCTGCGCACTCGTAAACAGTTGTGGACATTATCTTAGTGAAGCTACTATGGAGTCAGAGCTTTAGTATTGGGGCAGTGTGCAGCAGTAACCTGAATTTTAACCCCTAATTAGGTAAAATCTGAGAAATCTGATTCAGTCTTACATAGATAGGGTTCCTGTTGTCTTATAATTATGGATCCCTAGCTGCTAATTTCCGTGTTGATTAAACAGAAGTTTATGTTTAAACTACTCGGAAAGCATAAAAGTAACAAAAATTCAAAAAGGTCAGAAGTGAGTGCAATTTACCACCGTCAAACACTATCTAAGAGTGAGTGCGCTCAAAGCCTGATGAAGAAAACCTGGTTGACAAAGACTGTTTATAACCACCATCGTGATACTCGTCTCTGATTGGGGATTTAATCAAGTCAGCGAACACAAAGAGACTCTGGTTAGTTCACTGTCCCAGTACTGAGCGTACAAGTTTAAAATGGAGAATAACTCAAGTCTCCATTAGAAGGTGTACATTTTTTTGGACAGAGAGCAGGACCACAACATCCTGTATAACCTGGTCTGGAGTCTGGCTTGCTTTAGTCCTAAACTGTTTGTGCTTACTAGCCATCAAACACTAACTGTTCAGTGTAAGGAGGACTTTCAGGTGGTGCAGGACGCACTCTGGCAGTCATGATGGAGGTCCTTCTTTGGCTCTGAAGGGCATCCTTCAAATGCCATCTCATTAACTACACTAAACAAACATGTAGTATTTTACTAAATTATATTGATTGTTTTTTAATCATCGCGGAAAAAGTGCTTGATCCAAAACTCGGCATCTCTATGACAGAAAGGATGCCATAAAACAGCTCTGTAGCCACATAAATTCAGTTGGTGATGCAGAAAATGCATAAATTAGTTTTTATATCCGTTTTATGCCGCTGGTGCTACAGTTAATAGAACATTGATTAGTCTGTTGGTGTTTCTCACAGCAGCCAGCTGCCCATTTTGTCACCAGTTGAACAGCTCACAAACTTAAATTTAACGCTTTTCTAACCAAAACAATAGTAACCTAAATCAGTCAAGAAGCCCATTGGCATGCTGCGTTTATACTTTTGTCCTGCTTCGGTATCTGAGCTTATAATTTGGCTGTTTTAAAGAATTCAAAAGGCGTTTTTCTAAATTAGTTTACTAGCCGATATTTTGTATTAATTTAACTGATGCTATTGTGTTTTTACCATCATGCTGGCAGTTTCGCAGCCTAGTGTTTGTTTGAGAACATCATTGACCTCCATAACGGTGCCACACGAGTGCGACCCGACTGAAACTCCTCCATTAGCTGTGATGAAACAGATGACAGGCAGAACCTGCGGCGTACTAATATTCATGTAACTACAACAAATGTGTAAAAAAAACTGTAATAGCTTGTTAATTCTACATGTTGAATAGCCCGACGAGTTACTCTAATCTGTATTAGCGGGTGAAATTAGCTGAAAAACACGAAAACTCCCCTGTTGCTACCGAACAGTACTGCTAACAGTGTGTCATCATGCATCAGATTATTTATCTATTTATTCATTTTAATGTTGTCATCCATTTTAATTTCACATTTCTAAATCCCCAGCTGTCCTGTTGAGCTATTAACAAATATATTTAATATGCATGTTGTCTTTTTTTTTAGTTGAACAAAGGATTTATTAGTCGCTTTTTTTTTATTTTTATTTTTTTTACTGGAACTAATTATTTCCTCATCTGGAACACATTTTAGATAATCATCTAATCTGTTTCCCGACAGGAATTATTACTGTTTCATATTTTATGTGTCGCCCTGTATGATGACTGAAGCCTGTCTGTTTTATATCCGTTTTTCCAGTGCAGGTTTACGAATAAGTTTGTGTAGCTGATGCGATAACAAGCGTATGAAGCTGAATGTTCGAGCCTGTGAAGACTAACTGTGTATGTTGTTGATGATCTGAGGATGCACACTGAGGATTAGAAAAGCCAGTTTTTAACAAATCACATCCATTAATGGCGAAAACTCCTCTGCTCGCAAACATTTTTACAAACACCCGGTTAGAAAAATCCTGCAATTTCAGATCCACGTGAGATAAAACCACTTTTCCTGTCCTCAGTGTGTTTACAGGCCACGTCTGTCCCTGAGCTGTAGCAGCTGTCAGTGTGTCTCGACCCTTTAGCCTTTAATTTAAGAACAAGTTGCCAAATTTCTTACACTATATGCTAAATGATGCTCTGGGTTTCATTTTTTGTAAGATTTTCCTACTTCAGGTGCTCTGCTGTAATGGTTTCCCTCGTGCATTTCCTAAATAAATATTACCAGTCTGTCTCTTCATGCAGCCGCTTTGTCTCAAAGTAAATGTCAGAGTTCAATTAACCCTCTGAGCCACAAGCAGTTTGAGTGGTTTTTTTGTTTTGTTTTTCGTTTTGCTTCTGTCTCACTGAGGGCAAATTTTTCACTACAAAACAAAGTCCTTCACCTCTATGGAAACAGCTCAACCACGATTAGAAGTAGAGAGAACTCAGAAATTACTTCTGTACAGTGTGACACAGTTATGTGATAAATTATAAAGAAAGAAAAATCAAGTTGAATTTCTTTGACTAAACATTTAGTAACACTTGAAAAAAAAAAAACCTGGAATCAATTTGTACAACATTTTTACCGATACGACAAAAATGGTGACCCTACCAACTCTAAAGATTTTTCTACTTGACAGTCCCTGAATTTTGGTCACATCACTTTTGTCACTGGTCAGTCCTTTTTTGCTTTTTTGTTGCACAGAGAAATACATAATTTTGGTATTTTTGCAGAAGCTGGCAAGCATTTTATGTTTTTATTTTTTTTAAATTTGAGCTGTAGAATAAAGTGATTTTGATGAAATAAAACAAGTTTTCAGGTTCAACCAATACATGCAAACACCACAGTCTACAGTGTACTGATTAACACTGGAACTTGAAAACTCACTAGCAGTAACTTGAAAGGCATGTTGTTGTATTTTATTTTTTTTAAAGAATCACCCAAATGACACCATTTATCAGCTAGAAAATGTAGAAACAAACAAATCGACTTTCTATCATTCAGAATAGTTCAGTTGGGAAACTTAACCAAATCTAAACTTAAAATTGTGACATTTAACCAGAATGACCTTTTTTCACAACAATTCTTCAAAAATTCCCAAAAAATAATTTGCACTAAAAAATTCTGCGTGACTCTGTGCCAGTGTGAAGCTATTGGCGACACAGCTGAGACCAACATTGCCAAAAATATAAAGATTATTTAGCTGAACTGCAGGCTGTGTTTACACGTGGAGAGACAAGTGTAAAAAACAAATTTAAAAATGCAATTTATACAATATTTCCCCATTACAGGTAGCCCACATGAGCACTTGCAAAAATGCTGAAAATGTTGATTTTAGGTTTTCAAAATTTTGTGAAATAATCAAGAAATATCTTTTTTTTTTATTTTTTTTTAAACAATTTAGAGCTTTATAACTGTGTCATGTCTTCACAGAAGACATCTTTAAGTTTTCTCTACTTGTAGTCATGGTTGTGCTGTTCCCATAGAGGTGCAGGACTTCATAGTGAAAAATAAGCCCAGAGTGAGGATGAATGTGACAGGATTCAGAAGGAAATCAAAAAACCTCTTGAGCTATTATTTATGAAGAGCTTAACATGTAAACTAATTAAACTCCTGTAGAATATAACTCTAATTCAACTGTTGTAAAGCCTGACTGGTGGATGAAGATACTTTCTGCAAAAAACACACTTTTCCAACTGAGCTTCTGCCACAAAAACACCACATGAAACAACCACAGCCGTGTGTTCAGAAGCTAAAGAAAGAAGCTGCTTTGCGACTACGTTACAACTTTAGGATGCACATTATCTGACCTTAGATCTCCTCACGACAGCCTGCCTCAGTCAGGAGTGACTAGAGCCTCACTGCCTTGCTTCGGGGCACTTCAGTGACGAATGACATTGAAGACATTGAAGTACAGCATCACCTGTAGAGCCACGAGTAAACACGCTCAAATTTATTATCTCTCTTTGTTTAAAATGCACACAATAACGATGCAAAATACACACATACTGCATCCTTAGACAATTCGGGTTTTACAGTACATACATGTATCAGTGCACATCTGCTGCTGCTCCTCGACTGTCCACAAGATGGCAGCACAACACGACATTCCTTTAACTGACAGACTCAACTTTTGTTCAAATGCTCCTAAAACATTTTTCTTCTTCTTCTTCAGGGAAGCAAAGTATCATCAATATCAGAGAGAGCACAGTCCATATTCATTCTCTTAGAAAAAATACACAAACATGAGATGATACAAAAACATACAAGTTCAGGTTGTCCAAGTTAAACAGCATTTAATATTACATAACTCCGTACTGATAAATTTACCACATGATTCACACAGATGGTATATTGCTTGTCCTCATCCTCCACGACAAATCTTTCTTCTAATGAGGCAGGCGGACAAAAAAGAAAAAAAAAGAAAAGCCAATTTCCCTCGAGGCTTTTACAGTTAATCCTGCAGCCGCGTCCAAACACTCATTAAAACAGTGTTCAAACATTTCTGCCTCAACTCAGCCGGTCGGTTGTTAAACAATTTTTTATTTTTTTTAAACACCAGCCCTTAATTCCTTTAGATTTGAGGATTTGTGCTCAGTGTCTCCCATCCCTCTACAGATCAACATTTCATAATCTAGTAAATAACAGCATTACAATGTTCATTACAAAGGTTTTGGCAATGATCAAACTTTTCAAAGCCTGGAAATAACTAAACAAGGTGGGTATGCTTTCATCGGGATCAGTTCTGACGCTCACAGAGAGGATTGTGGGAAATAGAGTCTAGTGTGATCCAGTAGCAGTGTCCAAAACTACTCTCTAATTAGCTTAAAAAGCATCAATATGGAACCTCGTGGATGACATGATGACTCCTAAAGTCATTCTTATGAATGCAAAAAAGTCAGAAAGGACCACAAATGCATGCAGTTCAACAGGCTTCAACATCCCGAGACTTAAGAATACATCTAATTTCTGTAAACTTGTAACTACAGGCTAACTGGCTCTGGTTAATGTAGCTTATATCAGCTACAAAAACAGGAGACATTCATGGAGTGATGAGACATAAAACCATGGAAAGGGATTCTACGTAAGGCCTCTCCTTGTTCAACAAATGTATGAGCTAAAAATCCATAAAAAAAACAACTGTATGTATATTTCCTCATTTATCAGTAACCTGTATAGTGTATATTTCCGTATAGTGAGCTGTAAATAAATGTTTTAGACACTTGCTTCCTCATCGGCTCATGATAGTAATTTACGTATCTGTCAAATGCTATTATGAAAGTCTGCCTCAGCATGACTATCGTTTGTTCTGTTATGGGTACTATAAACAGCAAAAAATTCCAAGCTTCGATGATTTAGCAATCATTTAAATTGCTTTAATCAAGTAATCACTATTTGTCATGCAAAAAAAGGCAAACTTTTTTTGTTCCAGCATCTAAAACACAAGAATGTGTTGCTTTTCCCTGCTTTATGTTACTGTCAGCTAAGGCTGTAGCTTCCAGGAGAACTGGACGTTCAACATCAGCATCTTTCCAGGATTAATCCATTACTACTGGTGGCTGGAGGAACAAACTACCCGTGAACACTTGTGCAGTTTCACAATTTTGAAGTGACCCAACCTAATGGAGACTGTTGGGTCGAACTCATTTAACATTTACTGAATGTTTACTTGACTTCAGCTCTAAAATGACCGACACCGCGTTGAAGGATGCATCTGTGTGGCTGCAATTTGCTAAAGCACAAGACCTAAAAGTCGAGATGTTGCCACAAGCAGTTTGTAACATCACAGCTCAACAACTGACATGACAGATCATCTGAAAACAGCAGCGAGCTTATCTGCATTATATTCCTCAATAGCCTTTATGCTACTATTGATGTAGTTCATTTTCACTGAATGAATCCGTGTAGGTGCTCTGAGTTTGTTCTCATCATTTTTGAATAAATACACAGATTCAGATGATTTAATATTCTGCAAATACTAGCTTCTATGTTGATTTAGAATTGATTTAGGATAACAAGGCTTACAAGTAGAACCCTGCACTGTTTTGAGTGCAAGATTTTCTTTGATTACGGCCCAAATGTCAACTAAGTAACTTTAGTTTCTGGGACATTACGATGGGGACATTTGCTGATATTTTATAGAATAACCTGTTGCTCACAAAAATAATTTTAAAAAAATCAATCAATAATAAAACTGTTGTAATTAGGACACTAAAATAAAATAGCGAGAGGTAAATGTAATCCAGTATAAACTGCAGTAAACAGAGCGACTTTGGAGACAACTGGAGAAAAGCATCAGTTAGTTTCACTGAGATGACAAAGAGCAGCTGGCAGGTGTTTTGCTGACTGCTGGAGTGTGAGACGGAGAAGCAGACAGAAAGAGGCAGATTAAGAAGGAAAGAAATAAAGAGGGAGGGGAAAAGCTTGAGTCCCAGGAATCAGTGAAACTCCTGAGCCGACTTGTCGCGGCACAAACAAACCATCTGGATGCTTCGAGTGCGATGAAACAGAAGCTAGAAAACTAATTACACAGACTGCTGGATCCAAGTCGAGAGTGTGTGTGAGTGAAAGGAGTGAAAAAGGAAAAAAGACGGTGCAGACAGAAAAACACAAAGATGCAGAGCGACCTTGGCAAATCACAACAAACCAAAAATAGCAACTTAAGTTTCCAAACGGTGTGAAGTGCTGCTGAACGCCTCCTCCTTTAATCCACCTCATATGAAACATCGGAGGACTTCCCCGCACATTAAAACTAATCTGAAGCGGAAACAGAAAGTCCGAATATAGAGCTACATCAGTTCTTCATGCAAACACCTAAATGATCCCTCGAGGTAGCAGATGAGGCTCTTCTTGTTTTCATTTACATTGTTTTTGTGGAAGTTTAAAGACTGCTGACACTCATCCGCAGCGACTTTACAGTTTGTCACTGCTCAGTTCCAGCTGAAGAGAAACATTTTTGACTCATGAATAAATAGTATTTCGTAAATAAAGTCCTCAAATGTATAAAGTGTCTGCTGAAGAAAAAAAAAAAGCATAATAAATGTGCTGCTCTTTCAATGAGTTGAAAAAAACAAAACAAAAAAAAACACATAAATTAGTGTCCCAACTGCAAAAACAGTCGGCCAGTATCTACAGTCTGGGTTTCTGCTGTCAGGATGGAAAACAACCGCCGGTGTCTTTACAATGAAACTGTAAACCGGCTGATAGTTGGGAAGAGGCAGAATCACAGTTCTAGTGTTGAGACAGGTGAGCACCTCCCATCCTAGATGCTGCTTAGGCAGAGTTCACGAGGCATGTGTTCAGTGATGGTGAACCAAAACTTGGTTCCAACCGATGAGCAAACTGTCATTTCACTCTTCTTATCAACGCCTTTGGTAGAACTTTTAAAAACGACACAGATACATACTGATAGTAAACACTGAATAAACGGTGGAGAGGTTAAAAAATAAATAAATTAGTACCTTGCAGCATGAAACTCACTGGCTTCATTTTTATGCTAAGAAACATCACTGTTAAAAACTTGAAGCTCTAAAGAAAGAAATCCATCTCCAAATTGTTTGATTATTGAATGAAGTCTGCGCTGCACAGCCATCGAGGGGCTCCTGTACTTTTTATTAATGAATTTTTGCCTGTTTTCTACAGTTACTGTGATGTCTTATACACACTGCATCCTGCTGTGACCAAGTCAATGGAGCTGATGGTGGAAATGCTGATTTCTGGCTCTCATCTGGCCCATACAGGGAGTCAGTACAGATCCAGCAAAATGGATCTGTGCACCTTAAATATTTGCTGTCTAAAACATGTTGTGTTTTAGACAGCAAATATTTGACTTTGTCTTTGACTTTGTGTTATTCAAAGTCAAATAACTAGACTAATATTGGTTTCAGTACTAAGTCTAGTGCAGAAACTTAGTTCATGAAACTGATTTGATGCTGTTGGAACTCTGCGTAAAGTAAGATGATGCAACCTTGAAAGCAGCAATAACACAGCTTTCTTGTTACATATCAAAAGTTGATTTCATCAGCAATAAAAGCCTGCCCTTGTTCAGTTTAACACACTCAGCAGCCTTATTCGGTCTGCTACGACCAAATGCTTCTGGTGACAAATGTTAGCTGAATGTTAGCTCAACCAATTTGTTTATTTGGTTTAATTTTATATTTGTATTTATTGCATTTTTGAGGTGTAGTGGAATATGTACACATGCTTTCGCTTCTGTCTCTTTAAAGTTTCTTTTTAAATGTAGCGCCATGATAGCTCCCATGTTCAGGGGCTGTAGTCCCTGACACAGAGGTCATGGGCTCGAGTCCCGCTCATGGCACTTTCCTGCAGGTCCTTCCAGCATTCTTCTTTCCTGTCTCTCTCTCTCATGACATTATTTAGTCTGCTAACTTGATGACTCTTATCCGTGTGTGCTTCTGTTACACTACACATCCAAATGTTGCACAAAAACATTTAAATAGGAAACATGTTGCCTAAAGATCACGTTTTTAACTGAGGAGAATCTCGGGATCACAGTTGTCTTTTAAATACCAACAACCTTTCACTGATGGAGAGAGCAGTTAAGAATGGGACTGATACGAAGAATCTATGACAGAATCAGAATTAATTAAATCCCTGCGATGCTCATCTTTCATCACCGTGAATTTAAATCAAAGTAAGACCTCCCATTGCTGCCTGACATTGAAAACAACAGACGGCACGTCTTGAGGAAGCAGATATAAAGATACTATCGCCTGCTGCTTCAAAAGAAGCTAAAAAGAGCTCAAGGTTTTGGAACTAGACATCATCAGCAGCCAATTAAAGCTCTACATAAACACAAACAGTGAACACTGCCTGAGCGGGACGACAGAGAAACACCCGACTGTAAATACTTATTAAAAATCAGCAGTATCCAGTTTGCGATGTGATGGTGCAGATGTAGTGGCTTATTATGAGGAGTGTGACGCTGTGTCACCGCAGGGTTGTGCTTCTTTCTCTTTCTCATCATCGTCGCTCAGGAAGAACAGCGGGAACATCCCCAAAATGCAGCCGATGGACACACCAATGGCTTTACCCTGCAGAAAAAGAAGAAATCTCATTACCATGCTAAAAGTTCAAGTCCTTCCCTGTTGACCTTTTTTATAAATTTGACAATAAAATCTGTTCATTTTATTACTAAATCTGTGAAAGCTCTACTGAAATTGCTTTAGAGTTAGTGGTCCTGGTGAGGAAAAGCACCGTGTGAGAAATCTTTTAGAATAACAGTACATCAGCTCAATGTTGGCTGATAAATGTATAATTCAGAATGGGGTAGTTTTAGCGCGCCAGCTGCAGGTGCTTGTTCCTTTTAAGATGATGTCTCCGGATACACTTTTGATAAAGTCATACGCTGCTTTTTTAACAAGAACAAAGCTGAAACTGATTTTGCTGGCAGTCTCCAGGCCTCTTTCATGCCTGTGGATTCTCCCCTATTATACATTTCCTCTGATGCGCCTCCTCTACCAGCATCGAGCGCTCCTGTTAAGCTTTATTTTTATTTTTATTATGCCAAATGTCTTGTAATTTCATCAATCCCTAGGTATTTGAAAGTTATCTGTTGGGATAATTGCTTCTGAGGATATTAAAGAGCCCATATTTGGCACATTTACAGTTTTACAATTTTATTTGTGGGGTCTGCTAGAATATGTTTACATGCGTAATGTTCAGAAAACATGTTATTTTTCCTCATACTGTACACTACTACATCATCTTTTCTCATCCTGTCTGAAACGTTTCATTTTTGCTCCTGTCTCTTTAAGGCCTTCCTCTACAAAAGCCCAGTCTGCTCTGATTGTTCAGCTGGTATGATTCCAGTTAGGTAACGGTGGGTACATAAACATAGAGCTTTGAATGCAGCGATGGAGCTCTTTCTTTGCTTTAGATTGTCGCCAAAGTGGCTGCAATGCATGCAGTATGCAAATGTACTACTGGGTGATGTAGGTAAGTAACAAAAGAAAAGCCTGGACTTCAAACGAGGGGTTTCAGGTAGGGAAGGAGCACGATTAACTCCCTTTATTTTGGATTTTGGGCTTTTACACATACACAAAACAGCTATATTACAATGTAAGAGAAAGGGAGAAACCAAAAAGCATAATATGCACACTTTAAACACTTGACACGATTATGTAAAAAAAAACAATTTAGAAACTGGAGCCTCCTGATTCCCTGGTGTTCTGCCAACCACAAACCATGAACCACCGTTTGACTCCAGCTGAGGATCTGTGTTGCATGTCTCCTCTAATTTTCTGCCACATTTCCACTGCTGGTTATTCAGAACAATAAAAGGATTAAAATGCCTGAATATAGAATGAAACTGAAATCTCACCATGTGAGAGCTGAGCCTGGTCTGCCACATATCCACCTGTTTAGGCGTCAGATCTGGAACCTGCATCCCCAGTCTGGAAGCCAGAGCCTCCACATAACCTGCAAGACTACACACAAACATACTGGTGTGATTCTAACAGCCTTGACATTTAATCATTTACAGGTGTCACCTTAAAGGAAAAAGCTATCCAACAATCAGTCAGTCCATCTCAATGCTTTATGAAACTCTTACGGTCTCTGTTCTTGAAAAAATATGGGTTACATATTTAAAGTATATTGTACAATTTCATTTACAAAATGTTAAATAATTTTTCAAAAATGCAGGTCGCATATTTTTTTAATCATATGCAACTCACAAGGATACAATTAATCTTTGGGATAATTTTATAACTAGCAGATTAATGGTTAACAATATGGCTGCAACTAATAATTATTTTCAATTAAACAAATATGTCAATTTTTTAAAATTCACATATAATGTATACATAACCTCCAAAAAAATAATAAAAACGTCCTCAAATGTCTTGTTTTATCCACAACCAAAAGATGCCTGGATTATTATGATAAAGGAGAAAAGTAACTACAAAAATGTTCATATTTAAGGAGGTGGAATCAAAGAATTTAGACTTTTTTCTGAAAAATTACTCAAGATGAATCAATTATCAAAACAGTTGGCCCAATAATTTAATAATACACAACTAATTGAATAACAGTGGCAACTTTTGTAAATACATATAAAATACTGCAAGCCCTTTTCTTTTAATCCTCAACAAAATTGTCTATATTAAGAAGTAACTAAAATCACTTCCTAAGGGAGTCGACACTCAGTTTAAAACAGAGTCACTCACTTGTCATCGGCATACAATTTCTAACCTCAAAATAACCCTCCTCATCCTAAACCTATGAGCTCAGTTTGTAGATATAGAGAACACATTGTTTCTTTTCATGGGGGGAAAAAAAGAACAAAGCAAAATATACACACATAAATGTGCAACGAGTAAGTTTAAGGAAATGAGAAAACAGAAGATAATTAGCACAGAAAAATACCAGCAAGTACATGACGCATTTAACTTTTAACTACAAAACATCAAACAGAAATCTTGCACGGCAAAACAAGAAGACAAAGATAGTTCAGTTCATTATTTAAAAAAAAAAAAAACCTTCACCTGTCTTCAACAGAATTCACACGTCTCACTCAGAATAAACCTGAGGCCTCACAGACACTTTATAAGGCTGCTTACCCGAGACCTGCCAAGTCTGAAACCAGGTTCCCCAGAGCCGCAGCTGCAAAACACAAAGAGGCAAACACTTTGATTTCTGCTCTATTCTAAAAAGGAAAAGTCACAGTGAGAGAGTGGGAAAATGGAGCAGAATAACGAGAAATTTCACAGATTTGTGCAGCGTTCCAACACTAATTCAGGGACAGATTCATGGCAATTTATAACATCTAGTTTGGTGAAATCAGTCCTCTGAATTCAAAGCACTTTCTGGATATTTTTTTTGTTTTGTTTTTGCAACCGTCATCTTTGTACTCACAGTGGGTTCATTTTTTCAAGTAAAATAAAGTCCTGAAAACAAATCATACAAAAAAGAGATGCTGTAATTTCCTTAAATGTTCATTTTATACATGAAAAAGCCTCGAATGAAACTATTTTCCAAGCGTCCACAAGCATTTCCAATAATAGAAAAAAGTGATGACTCTACACTAGAAATCTTTTAGTACTGAGTCACTAATGGATTTTTGGTTGCATTAAGAAGTGCAGAATGTTTTGTTTTATTACAGAATCTAGCGCAAACTGTTTTCCTTTTTTCTCTCATAAATTTTGAAATGGAACATGATTTTAATGAAATATGATACCACGCGTCACAAATGATACACTTAAGGACAATCACAAAGTTGAAAATTCAATGGTTCTTCTGTGTTTATGTGGTTTCCAGCTCTGATAAATGTTATAAAAAGACAACATGCCTTTCAAAGCCACCTGCAGTCTTTGGGGTTTAGACGGTTAATAGACTTGAAAATGGCATGTTTTGTGGTAGAATGTGAACAATCTCTTAAATTCGATTAAGGCGACCAAGTCATCTACTTATTTTAATTTGTCATATTTCTAAGGGACTTTAAGAAGCTTTAAAGTTTCTTCAAAAGCTTCTTCCTATCGTTTTGGTAAATCTGAGATCGTCTTGATCTGAATGTCACGGCGGGTTGAGGTTAATTCCAGATTGAATCGGAAATCCTGATAACTGTCAGCTTTTGGTCAAATTGATTTCCCCCTGGACGAGTGGGGATCACAATCTCTAAAGGAAATCTGCCCTGTGGTGTGCTGACTTCTTATCTGGCACGATTAAAGTTTCCACGACTGTCAGGCTCCACTACATCAGCTCATGCGAGAACACATACAAACACACCTTTCTGATGTTAGACATGGTGGAGGCCCTTACCTGATGAACAATTCTGCCATTTACCATCAGTTCATGCAGACACTGACCACATGTGCAGCTGTGAGGAAGGAATGCTGCAATGAATGGCAACTGGGAACGACACCAAAGGTCAGAATTCCAACCAAGTAACTCAGGCTGGGCTTCACAATCTCCAGGTCCACCCCTTATATCATTCCCCAAAACATCAGTAAACTATGTAGTATGTAAATACTGCTTCTTGCCATTTGATGAGTCTAAATGTCTCAAACATTAGACAAAGTGAAGTTGTGCCTTTTTTGCTCTTCTGCTTCTTCAGTTGAGTGAACTTCATGTCTGTTGAAGCCTGTTTGTTTTTGGGGTTTTTTGTAGAAAAAGGAACAAAGCAAACTGGAGGGCAGCCACATTTTTCAGCAACTCATTTTACCAGTGAAATAATTTGTTGGCTATTTAGATTTGGAACAGCACCAATACTTAATGGATCTCATTTATTTGCTTAGTGCTAACTAACAAAGACAGTTAAGATGCCCATTGTGTTGTTGTGATATTTGTTTTTTCTGCAAATTGCTTCTGTCACATTGCAGTTTTTAATTCCCAGTGTTATTACATTATGTTGAAAATTTGTTAATGAACAGCATGTTCCCATGAGCACCCTGAATTACACCCCGAGAGGGCCGAAAAAGATGTGATTAATTTTTTGATGGAGGATGGTTGTCGCTGGGGAGTTTTCCAACCATTATAGAAGCATCCAATCTAGATACCCCACCGTGACTGCAGTTTAAAAACACCCTCAGGAGTTTAAAAAAAACCTGTAGTTAAAAATCATAATGCCTGGTGGGAGTTTCCAACAGCTGGAAACCCTGATGATTGTTTTTTTGGTTAATTCGGTGTCCGTCCAGTTCTCCTGTAGGAGTGGAAAAAGAATCAACAAAAATCGCTGAAGTTAGTCGTCAACGAAGTCAACTGCAGAAGAGTTTTTGAACTGACTCAGAACACATGAAGGCATCACTGCTTCTAGAGTGCAGCGTGCCACTATTTGATGTAATTATATAACATGGATCAGTGTAGACCAAGTTCCCTGCTGATGTGAACACAGGAGAACAGGAGGAACACTGGGGAACTTAAAATACAACCACATCTTCCAACAGTGTGTTTGAATCACAGCCGCCTGCCGGGAATAAATCGACCCCTGCTGTTTCTAAGAATAGAAGAGAAATTCCTGATGTCCATAAATGTCTTCAAGAAAACATCACATCCAATTGCTTGTTGCCTCCCTTTTTACTTTTCACAGCTTTCAGAGGTGAGATCATGACCGGAGAAATACTCTGAGGAGCTGAGACATCCAAAAAAGCTAAGAGTAAAACTTCTGCTGCTTCACAAAAAGAGTTCTGATCTGATGAGGATCGTCTTCAATGTCTCCTTTTAGAGGTTTCCAATTCAGTGGGGAGTCTCTGAGTGAAAACTCATAACATGTTAGACAGATTATATATCCCATCTGGCCCAGGAACTCCCCAGGAAGAGCTGGTGGAAATACTTAAGTGTCACCTTGCTGAACCTGCAAAGTAAGACCCAGACCTGGACACGCTCCTGATGTTTAGGCCGTATTCTTCTTCAGAGGCTGTCGTTCCTCTAACATGCTCCTATTCAAGGAACACTTTAAAAAGTCGCCCACACACGACAACCAGAACAAATACCTAAAGTCTACAGTGCCAAGTGGCCCACATACATCTGTGTATATTCGAAACGGTGAACAGCACAGGGGAGGCGTCCAAACAATAGATCAAAGGAGTAGAATACAAGATGAGAGTCAGCAGGAGTGAGTGAAGGTACGAAAGTTTTTATAGATCAAAGAGTGCCTCTGGAAAATCACCAAGTCACCAGTCAGCTCCTTTCTCATCTTTACTCTTTATGGTTTCACTGTCAGCAAATTCAGCTTTCCAACAATTCCACTTAATGCACAACATCAACAATACGCCGCAGCTATGAATAATTAACGCTGTGGATTGCATTTTCACAGGGGATGGCTGACAAAGTGGCGGGAAAACGTATTTGTTCATGGTCATTAAAACCGCAAAGTTGCCAAGGATGTGTTTGTTTTGCCGTCAGTGGATCTCTGGAGGCATAAAAAGCGACGATGCCTGAAGTTGAGTGAACACAGAGCTTCCTGTGGGAGCTGAAACTCCAGATGGACCGCTTCAATCCGAGTTTCCTTCAAAGACAAACTCCTTGATAGGGATACAGAGGTGAGACAGCGATACAGTCTCGCCTCATTTCACCATCCCCCGGACACTGATGGCATCTGACACTGAAGTGCTGGGCGATAGAAAACAATTGAGTCAGCAACAAAAGCTTGAAAGGTCGCTACTCAAATAAAACGAAAAAATATAAGCGAACTTAGTCGAGTAGTTGAACATGTCTGCGGGCTGGACGGTGATGAAACGGATACAAAGCAGCGCCTGGATGGATAAAGGTGCCACAGCAGAGCTATTGATCTTGGGCCCGTCTTCAGCCTCTGATTTGCACTTTGCAGAGGAAATTGAAGCCAAGTATCCATGGAAACGGAATAATCTGCAGCAAGAAGAGGGAGAAGGCAAGCTCCATTGCCTTTATGGTTTTCAGAGTGTAATAAAGACCCAAACTAAGGCCCAGAACAGGAGCCACGATGACAGTCGGCTGTGTTGCAATAAACTGCAAAAAAAAAAAAAAAAAAAAAAGACATTCCGGTGCAATTTATACAGCTGATAGCATCATATGAGCTACAGGAGTAACAAAAAATGTCTTGGTGATGTCTGATGGAAGAAGTGGAATTGCTTAAAGACACAGCATGTACTGCGTAACTTCTAGTATAAAAGAAAGTAAAGCAAACACTTGACCCGATTTGTTTTTTTCTACAAAAAAAAAGGATGCCCTCATCACCTTATTGAGAACTAGAAGGGGTATATTTTAGTCTCTGGTGTGAGACGCATTTTAAAATCAAGTAACAATTTCATCGCTGCAATGTGTTATTAATTTAATGCTACTGGCAACATTTTCGGTTGATTAAATTTCCAGCATGTGATCCAGGGATTTTCTGATCAAGTTTTTTTGCCCCCAATTCAGTCAGTCATTTAATATTTAGTATCTGTGGAAACTCAACATCATTTTCCTAAATAATACACACTTCCAAGTATTTTTGATTAGCTGTAGTACCTAGTTGCACCACCAGGTGAAGCCTCTTCCTGTTTAAATCTGTAGTGACCAGAGTATGCAGGCAGTTACATGTTGGCAAGCAGAAAGCAATTTTGGGGTTTAGCTCAAAAAAGGGCACCATGACAAAGCCTGTGATGCTTTATGACCCTCAGCCACCGTACATACATTAAGTAACACTGGGACAAACTACGACAACATTCCTTCATCCCAGTGAATCATGCACTGATCACTGCAGCCTCTATTGCAGTCTATGACTCAAAATGGGAATATAAGTACTGTGGCAAATGCCCACTGAACTCAATTTGTCAAAGAAAATTAATTAATTGACTGATAATGCTGCATTTATTAAGTACATTTTAAAATTTTAAAATACCTGCACGACAGTGGACGCAAAGAAAGGACTGGGTTTAGGTTCATACCAATACTTATACTTCAAAAATTGCTATTTACGATTTTGTCACTTAATATAAATTAGACATTTTTCTTCATAAAATCAAAATCCACATTTCATTTAGGTTCAGTTTATATGTGAAAAACTGTATGTCACTGTATGATGAAACCACACTAGGAAATGGAAAGAAGGGTTTACATATTTAAGTGTAAAGGTAAACTGGAAACTTCAACATAATGAAAAGAAATTTAAAAATATATATATATTTTTAAGTCAGTCGTGCAACTCCAAAAGAAATCCAAGTTACTAATACAAACTTGAACAAAGTGAAAAAGTTCCGCCTGCACAGTAAAGTGCAGCGTGGACTTGGTGGATATTTTAGTCACGGAACAGCTTACACAACTCCTCTCCTCCTTATTGTGTAGTTGTTCTCTGACTTTGGTAGAATGTTTAATCTTGTAAAAAATAAAACTGAATTCATAGCACAGCTGTCGACTTTAATGTCTAGCGAGTTTGTCGGTTAAAGTGAGGTTTATCAATCAGGATGTTAGCTGTAGAGCAGCAGCATGGAAGTGCCTGCTGACTAACATGGAGTCTGAATGAGATGTGTTTCCGATACTATTTCATACTTGTTTTGTGGTCTGTCAGAAACCAAAAAAATAATATGGAAATCTGGGCAGCTTTATTGGGAATCCAGCTGTATTAAAATGCAGTATATGTGAGCACAGAGAGCAGGAGAGAACCAAACAGTAAACAAACGCCTCCTGTGTGTTTTCTCTTCAGCCGTTCGTGCTGCTGTGTTCTGACTTCCAAACTCTGTACAGTGTCTTTCAAATACTTCCGGACCTCTGAAGCTTTGGGTCTTTGGAAACTTTTACACTGAATAGACTCAGACTTTGTTATTGCCACCGTTGTCTGGAAATGTAGCACTGACTGCAGCAGACCAATGACTGGAATCAAAAATGACTTATGTCATGATGCAGCTATTACTGTTTAAGTTGATTTTATCCTTTTAGCTAACTTACCAATGTGCCAAACATCTCCATATGCAGACACAGCATTCACACTGGTAATGTTTATTCTACCAAAGCTTGCAAGCTGCAAATGCAAGTAAGCAAATCAACAATCATCATCACCATTAAATGTGCACTCAAGTTCTGCTTCCCTTATCTCTGCAAGAACTGAAGCTTTCCTAGTCGTGTGCTATGTGAAGGTGGAGGGATATGAATGTGTGAAGAGCTGATCTTTATGAAGAGTTCCTTACAGTTCTGGTTGGATATGAAAATGAATGGTGCAGTAACTCATGCCTCTTTAATGGCTTCTTTTCACATCCTCCTCTGTCTTAAAAAAAATAAATTAAAAAATCAAATTCCATTTTTATGTTATTTATTACGAGATTGATTTTCCTGACAGCTTAGGTTTTTGTTGTGGTGTTGTTTCAGCACTGCATCGAAGTCGCAATTTTGGTATCCTGACAATACTAATGCACAGATGTAATAAGTGTGGAGCGAAAGTTATAGATTTGAAAAAAGTCCATTTCGAGTCCCGACAGCCCAGTCTTCACACTACCTAATTTTTCCATCAGCACTCCCGAAGATGTTTAGTTCAGAATGATACAAAAAAAGGTGAAAAGCAGCAGTTTCTCACATCTGCAAGGCTGGATTTAGAGAGCATGAACTCTAAAGTCATGAGAAAGTCAGATAGTCAGATGGTTTTAGCATCACCACACCCTTCTCTTCTCCTTCTCCTTGCTCAAAGATTGGCAGCTCTGAAGATTATCCAAGTGGGAACCATTTTTTCACTTGTGTTTCATGAATTCACCCCTAACCCTACACTTTGGGATTACAGGAATATATTAATATGTACATACATTTACATATATTTATTTCCCAGCTGTGAAGTAGAGAAAATAATCTTTCGTTCAAAACTTTCTCTACTGATCAATTATTCAGCCGACACACATGGGATAAAGGAGTAATCGACACGATAAAGTCATTTTAGATTATAGTGTGACTCGACTGCACACTGCCCCGTCTGTTCCTCTCTCTGTTCTTACCAGCCATGGTGGAGATCCCCAGAGTGACTCCGATGGAGAGTTCAATCTGAGTTCCCTGGAGAACAGAAGACAACGAGGTGAGCGTTATCACATAAAAGAGCAGACGGAAGAAAATTAGTTTTTGTCTAATTCCTGCAGAATGAGATTCAAGTAATTTCACTTACTGCCGCAATCATGATGGCATTATCCAGAAAACCAAATCCAACAAACGGGATTGCGTTGTGGAATAGAACTGCAAATAAAAACAAAGAAGTAAATGAACAACACAGGATGCACAGATAGGACAGAAAATCTTACTTCTGAACCCCAAACCCTGGAGATGGGCTTGAAAGGAATGATTTTTTCTTTTCTAAAGTACCACCAGAATGATTTCTTTCCTCATTATAAGTGCCTCAAACTGCACTAAAGACATTTCTAAATTCTCTCTACTTCTAGTCAGTAGAGGTGCAGGACTTTTTTATGTGAAAAAAAAATGTGACAGGAGCAAAAAACAAAAAAGCATAATAATAATAACATTAATGTTTATTTTATTGCTTTAAAACTCCATTCCATTTTTTCTTTGAAATTAGATCGAAACCTATTATATTTTGGCTGTGGTGTCAGAATTCCAGCGGTATTGGGACTGACAACCACATTTCTTATGACATCCCCAGTTTCTAGTGTTTTCAGCTGAAGAGTTGGCAGTTCTAGTTTTATATGTGACAGAAATACATGTAGAAATTGAATCAGCCGGTTTCACAAACTGACTATTCCTGTAATGCATAATTCATATAAAGGAATCGAGAACAACTTTGAGAAATAGCAGAACACGTCGAGCATTGCATGACTATACTAATACAGCATTCACAGTTGTTTCTGACACCAGCTGTTTGTCTGTCTGCATTCAGCAGGTGTAACAAATAAACGGTGCATAGCAAGAAATATTTCTATTTTCACACTTCCCTCTAGAATATGATATGCGAATATGCAGAATAAAGACGCTTTTCTACACTTTGCCTTCAGTAAAGCAATCCACTCCAAAAGATGAATAATCCATGTACGCTTATTTCACACCAGTATCTCCCTCGACCACACAGGACTGGTAGTGAGCTCTGCAGTTCTCTAATACTGTTTTAGAAATGAGTCTTCCTTTGGGGAAAAAAAAAAGCTTCAAAATGATGTGGAGTTTGATTATGAGGTCAGTTATTGAATTGAGGTCATCGCTGATGTGCAGACTTCACAGAGCAAACAGCTATTTGATGACGAGATAGACTAGAAATTTAAAAAAAAAGAAAAATCAAGGAAACTAAAAACGCTGTGACCAAACAGCTTTTATCTACAAAGCTGCATATCAACTGCTATTAATAAAGTAAACACTTTAACAGCCAGAACTGTGGACATCTTAGAAATAGTGATGGGTGCATTTCAGATTTCAATTTCCTTCCAAAATATAGAGTATTTATGTGTGTGTGTGCCAGATTTAATCTCTCACCGTATCTGATCTGGGCTGCAGTGGGCGGCGAGGGCTCCAGTGTCTCTGAGAGAGAAAGAAGAAGGAAAAAAAAAACCCATCAAAACACATCAGAAGTTTGCTCATTAACTGCTGAGGTTTGACTTTAAGCAACTGCAGCAACATGAAGACAGTTTGTTCACCCCAAACTCACCACAGTCTCCTCTTATGTTCAACAATTTACACTCAAAGTCTCCACAGTAACGTCTGACGGAGCAGACTTCATTTATACCATTAATCATTTCTGAGTGTTCTCACTCACTTTGAATAAAAGAAGCGCAAGCCACAGTAGTATAGTGGCTTTCATTAACAATCACATTAATAATTAAATTGCAAGGAAAGAAAGAAAAAGCAGAAAAATACGAGGAAATAATTTGGTTCAGGCAAAGATTTTGACCTTTAAGTCATTGCGCCCCCACAATGCCTATCGGTGTTGTTTCCAAATGCTAGAAGAAAGTCTCAGGAGATAAATCATCTGCTCAAGCTTCAACAAAATTGGAGCATCAGTGTCTTAAACACAGAATCACTTCTGAGCGATGGGCAGACACCCGGCTCTTCTCAGACAATCTCTTCTTAAGTGTAACGTAAGTTTTCAAGTCCTACATCTCCAACAATGCAAACTACAGCTAAGAAGGACTTCAAAGTTTGGAGTGATAAAGGGATTCGTTGGGAATCTCTTAAAAAAAACAATGATGTGGTTTCTTTGGCTGGATTTTACAATTATGATAAAGTTAGCACGTCTTCCTGACAAACACACAATTAGAACAATACAGCAAGAGGAAAGCTTCTGCTCCTGGGGATTAAATCTGAATACTTGTTGAGAATCAAGTGTCTCTATGGCACAGTACGGAAACTGTCAAATTCAGTCACATGTGTATTCTTGTTTAAACGCTTTGATCGGATATTTTTCACGTTTTTTTATTTTTCCAGTTCTAAAAAAATGTTAAAAATCTCCAAAATCACAGCATTTATCAGTCAAAACCTAGAAAAATAGACAGAGGTTTTGAATTATGAACTTTCCAATGGTCATTAATCTGCTACATGCTGTTCTGTCAGAAAAAATACCCAAATTGAAGCTGAAATTAATTTCATCAGGATAAAAAAAAAAAGAATAATTTAAATCACCATTAGTTGTGAACAACAGAGAAGGAAAGCAAAGTAAAAATGGAAGCTGTAAATCATCTATAGCATGTAGAGTTGCATGTTCACTCCAAATTTTCCCTTTTTAAATAATCAAAGAAATTCAAAGTTTGATTGTTTTCTTTCTTTAAAATAATTTATGGCATCAAAACCGCACATTTGTCTGAGTTCTCTTTGCTTCTAGTCGTGGTCATGCTGTGTCCAAAGAGGTGCAGGACTTCAGGTTGCAGTTAAAAAATGAACAACAGTGACTAAAAAAAAGATGACAGGAGCAAATTTAAATTTTTTTTTAAAAAAGCACCCAGAAATTGCTTTGGATTTAAAGGGTTTAAAGTTTGTGTAAATACTGTAGAGGTGTAACAATACACAAAAATCAGAATTCGGTATGTCCATGTAAGTTATTGGTATAACAAAAACAAAAAATGCATGGTGTTAAACTGCTTCATAACATTGAACTATGACTGTGTCTTTCTTTAAAGAGTTTTTTAGTACTCCTGTAACTGACTGCAACCTACTAATAAAGAAGTAGAATGAATCAAAATGAATATTATCTCAAATACAAACAATCAATAAAATAAAACCCATTAAGATGTAGAAAATGAACTATGTTTAAATTGTGCTGTATAGTGTTCACATTAGCAGTCTTCAGCTACACACCATCCAAATAAAATATGGTCCATTAAAGTTCACTGTTTACTTGAACTGTGCCACTATTGTCAGTGATTCTCAGTAGCTATACGTCCACCCTTTGGTCTTGCGAGCAACACCAGATGCATTGAATAAGCTGTATGTAAATATAGGGATGCTATGACTTGTTGGATGAAATGTGAAGAGGGAACTTTGCAACGTGTCTTGATTATTTTCAGCATGTGTTTAAAGCCTGTGTCCTCGACAACAGAGTATGGTCACAGGTTCATGTTGGTTTTTGCTTTGGTTCGGTCTGAATTGTTAGTGAGAGACTGCTTAAATGCCACGAGGAGCTGAGTGATGCCATCTCAAATTAGTGAAGAAGCTCAACATAAAGTCATCTACAGACCAGATCACAGCTGAACTATACCGGCACATAGCTTTCATCTGATCCACATGTTTGTGTTCCATCTTTATTGTAGTTAACTGCGAAACCAAGGAGTTCCCAAATAAACAGCAGACTTGAATGATAGTTTTAAGTTGCAACGAAAGGCCGATACCGATGACAATTGTTTGTGCTGCTCCCGAATAGCCAAAAAATTACAGGTTTACATATGTGAAAATATACAATAAAGCAGATCGAGTGAAAATGCAAAAAGAAACTATATACTGAGAGCTGGTGTAAGCCGTACATTAACAGAGTCTATCGTCATACTTTAATTGGTGAGACAAGCAGCAGAGTCGAGCTGCACCCTTGGGAGACACTGAGCTGACTCAAGAGAAGTGTGTCGTCGTAGCAGCAGAGTGCATTCTGGGCCAATTACAGGAATAGGTCAATTACAGCAAAGGACTAATCTGCTGAGTCTTTTACTTTCTGTGCGTCTGTGCATTTGTATGCAGGTCTCCCAGTTTCGCCAACTTTTCTGCCTCGTTTTGGGGAGAAGAAACAGACAGAGGCCAAGAGTTCAGACAGAAACGAAGTGCATCCGAGCCTGAATAAACAAACCAGGAGTCGGGCTCATTTTTTAAAAGCTAACAAGCAGCAGCAGCGCCGTGGACAGAATCACACTTCTCTGGACGACCAGTTGCTGTGGAAAGGTCACGTTCTATTTTAGGCCGAGGGAGTTCAAGGATCCCTCCAAAGATAATCCAAGCCAGCAATGTCTTGTACTCTATATTGGCACCTGGTTTAACTTTAACATCAAGTACACCTGTTTATTTTACTACTTTATATTTTTCCCCTCTCTCTTCAGGCAGCGCAGGGACTCCAAATTCTAGACAAGGAAACTGCCGTAACTGATCGACTGAGCGATAAGATAACTGAAACTTTTTTTAAATTACTTGTAAAGATTTTTAAAGGTAAGAAGCCAAAATATGTGATGAATCTCAAATTTGATTATTTGCTTCTTTTTTGTCTCATGATACAGTAATGTGAAGATCTTTGGATTTTGGACAGCTGGATGGAAAAAACTCTTGAACTCTTCATCCACAGTTTTTTTCAGGAGACAAAATGAAGTAAAAACCAACAACAAAGCAAAACAGTTTCATTTGTAAACCATCTTTCAACAGATGATAGTACGAAGGGCTTAACATTAGCTATAAATACAAAACCAGCAAAATTCAACGTGTTAACGGTGTACAGTAAATGCAGTGAGCCTGTCTAACCTTATTGAGAGGAATCTATGCATTTTCCTGTTATTTCAGACCATTTGATTGATAATCAAATCATAAGACACTATTAAAAACATGAACATCACACAAGGAGGACAGCATGATTTTGTAAAACCCAAACAACACTTCAAACCCTGGATCAGATGTGCTTCAAAATGTACGTCCTAAATTGCAGCCTATGCAAGTTGCTGATTGCATTGATTCAAATCACTTCAGCTAGAAATCAATGAATTGTTCGGCCCGAATAAATGGGTAATGAAAAGTGCAAGATATGAATGAATCATCCAAAACTGGATTTAAAAAAAGGCAGTGCCAAATGGAAAAGCTGAACTTGAAAGAACTGAGAGCTGTAGCAGATCATGTGTTTTCTGCAGTCCAGGGGAAAGACAGACAGATTTGATCACTGAGCAACAGATCATCCAGCATTTTTCTGGTCTCAGTAAAGACTCTGACAGCAGAGCTCTGAATCAATATCAGCTATCTGATCGACCTTAAAATTAATCAGCACTGACAATAATCATTAGGTGAAGCCTTACTGTCAATGTGGCTACTATGAAAAAGACAAAAAAAAAAACAAAACAATTAACTACCTTAATTTAACATACGTTCCCTTATCACAAAATCCCACCTCATCTACTTCACTGAACACATTTCTCTTTCTTTAAGAGAAAAGCGTTCATATCAAAAGTTTTAAAGATTCCTTCTTTATCTGAGGAACCAAATCAAAGCTTCTTCCAGAGCCCGACTCTCAGAGAGATTTGCGTTGTTAGATTCACACGAGGATCTGATGCGTCTTCTGCCTCCTGATAGAAAGTCCAATAAGGTAAAGTTGCCAAGCAACAAATTCTGTTCCACTCAATAAGCACTATCGCTTAGCAACAACATTCATCCAGCAGGTGACACGGGGATTCAATCAAGGGTGTAAAGAAATGTTAGGTATAAAAGTTACAACTTTGCACTTCACACATTCTTCCAGACAGCGGGATGCCTCTCTGCCGTTACGCTTCAAAAGCATCAACACTGAGCATTTCCTCTCCAACAGCAGCAGGGAGTCATTAAATCACTCAAGGGCAATTATTTTCCTTTGTGACAAAAACGGTAGACTCACTGCTTTCATTCTGAAAACTCCACCAGAGTACAGCCTGGCTGAGGCTAAGCTGGGACAATCAGCAAGTGCTACAAGTGAGTGTGACAGACTGAGACATCTGGTAATTAAACGGACCGATCCTGCCTCTTTAACCTACTCTAATCTGACTCATCAGCAGGTAAAAGCCTGCAGCGGTTGTTCATTTCAGGCAGTTTTCTCTTCCCCTACCGCTATCCATGCGCTACTGTTTTCAAAAACTTCACTACAGGAAACATCACATAAAATGTCAAGTTTTGCTGAGCATTTAGATCGTACAGAAAGCCGCCCTGCAACCTTTTCTCTGTGGCTTCTTTCATTAACAGTGCTCGTCTCCCTGCACACAAATGCTCCACCAGAACCATAATGTTTTACAGAATGGGCTGGCTAAGCAAGACTAAACCCACAGGAAAAGCAACCTTAAGGCAACTTCTCATCCAAATTTAGTGACAATCTCTGAATCTCA